AAATAAATAAATAAATAAATAAATAAATAAAATGGCATAAATTCTGAAACTGCAAACCTGTCTCTTAGATTCTGTTCTGTAGCTTTCCTCATTCATTCATCCATCCATCACATATTTATTGAGCAGTGACTGTTTCTCGGGTGTAGGGCTGGGCATTTAATTTATAAAAGCCAACAAGACAGATTTGGCTCCTGACCTCATGGTGCTCTGTAGAATTATGCCTTAACAAGAGCATATCCTGTTGAGTCATGCTTAAGGCCAAGGATGCCCCAACTCTAGGAAGGAGAGCAAGGAACTCCTACGATCCAAAGCAGGACTTTCTCCTGTACCTACAAGAAAAGAATAAAGAGAGACAGAGCCAAGAGCAGGCTATTAGCAGGACTCACTACGATAAGCAAGTACTGCATGCCAGCACTCTGAATAGTCTACAGTCCTAAGGAAGAACTTAATATTTTGCTTTGTGTTAATTTTTTAGGCAGATACTCACATTCCTATGCACTCAAGTGAAGACTGAGCAGAATTCAGAGGACTGAAACAAGGGGATGTGTCCTGAAACACCTGTAATTCCTCAACACCCCAAACTTCTAGGGCCAACGATGTGGGGTGCTCTTGGTCTAGCCCCTGCCAATTGTGGGGAAGGAGTGGGAATCTCCACAGCTAGCCCTTCCACTCCAGGACCTGTTAACTTAATCGAAGGCAGTCCTTATCCCCCTCACCATTGAAAGCTCCTGCTGAGTCATGCTTAAGGCCAAGGATGCCCGATTATTGTAATACTCTGAGAAGGCAGCCAACAGGCCACCTCTTCACACTCCTCTCTCCTTGACTATGATAGAGGTCTCCTAGCTAGTCATCCCATTTTCCCTTCTTGCCATGTAGGTTCTGTTTGCTACCCTGCACCCTGAGTTAGTCTTTAAAAATGGAAATCTGATCATGTCATTTTCCCATTCAAAACTCACTTGGTGACTTCCCACTACCCTCAGGGTAAAGGCCAAAATCCATAATGTGGCAGAGCTGGCCATTTGTGAGCTGACACTCCAGTACTTCCCCAGTTGCACTTCCTCTTGCACCTCCTTGCTCTTTCCATTCGCCCCACACATGTTCTCGTTACAGGCCCTTTGTATCTGCTGTTCCTCCCACCAGAACAACTCTTCTGCAAAGACCTGCACCCTCATCTCCCCCAGTTCTTACTCAGAGAGGTCTTCACTCACAACCCTATCCAAAATAGGGCCCCTCCACCCTTCAAACACACACACAGTCATTCTGTCTTCCTACCGTGCTTTGTTTTTCTTCATGACACTTACTGCTACCTGAAATTATGTGTTTACTTGTGTATTTGCTTTCTCTTTGTCTCTCCCCAGTAGAACAGAAGCTTCATATGAAAGGGAACATCTACAGGTTTTCTCATTAGTACATCCCCAGCGCTGGGCACATTAAATGCTCAATAAATATCTATTGAATGAAAAAAAGTAATAGATGCCTATAAAACTCCTGAGGTTCAGATGCTGATCTCTGATGTATTTGGGGAGTGGAAGGTATTGTAAAGTAAAACTCAGGGCGGCTCAGTCGATTGAGCATCTGACTATTGATTTTGGGTCAGGTCATGATCTCATTATTGTGGGATTGAGCCCCAGGTCGGGCTCTGCGCTGAGTGTTGAGCCTGCTTGGGATTCTCTCCCTGCCCCTCTCTAGCTCATGTGCTCTCTCGCTGGCTCTCTCTCAAAATAAACATTTTTCTTAAGTTAAGAAGTAAATCTCCATTTAATTTTCTTTCTCATCCATTAATACGTGTGCTACTGTCGCAGGGGCACCACAGTAAATAAACAAGTAGATAATTATGTAAACAAGCCACTTATCAGCATGCTCTCTGAACCCTTGTACTTTTACATACACTAGACAGCAGGTCCTGAGTGTTCTCAGTGATATAGGAAGGGCCTCACCCATTGTAAGTTTTCAGTCGATAAAAAAGTGTATTCACCATATGACAGTTTCCAAAGATAAAACTGACGTAATACTTATTTGACTTTGTCTTTATCTTTCTCCTAGATTTGTATACAATCAAAGGGAATGCCCATGGAACACCGTGCATGTTTCCCTTCCAGTATAACCATCAGTGGCATCATGAATGCACCCGGGAAGGGCGGGAAGACAACTTACTGTGGTGTGCCACAACAAGCCGATATGAAAGAGATGAGAAGTGGGGATTTTGCCCAGATCCCAGTAAGAACAAAATCTAGGCTTCTCCATATGTCATGAATGAATCAAGCATGATTAGAAAGTTATCTGTATCTAAAGACAAGCACCAGGATTGAAATATTGAAGTTTGAATAAGCACTCTGATTCCATTTATCCAGATTTTGATTTTGTGTTTGTTTTGCCTTGAAAAGACAATTCTGATGTATACTCTTTTTTCCCTCCTGTGTTCAAAAGATGTTAATTAGCCTTTCTTCACTAAGCTCAGTGCATAAGGATGCTTTAACCAGAATGAAATTATAACACTCCGTATGCTCATTAATCCCAGCTTCCGGGCAGAATACGTCAAAACAAACCTAAATGTGCATAAAACTCATTCTTTATATCTACTTTCAGTCCACCGCCCTCTTATAAGCTGCCTTAATTTCTCCATGTCCAGACTGCTTGTCTTGCCCATTGTCAAGTCCAGGCATCAGCTAGCTCCTTGATGACCTTTCTAAAATCGCTGTTGCCCTCATTATTTCTCAACAATGAGTTCTCATCTTGATTCCCTCTCCTTATTACTCAATTTCTAGCTAGAACTTCAAAATCTGACAGCTGCAATGTTCCAACTTTTTTCTCATTTAGTACTTATTTTATTTTTATTTAGCTAAAAGTTTTCCAATAGCTCCTAAATACTGAAGAATATTTATATATACCTTTTACTTTCTATATTCAATGTCCTTCACCTTGGTTCCTGCAAGTCAGAGTATTGCTCCTACTATCTCATCTTCTTGCCCCTCTCCTTCATATATTTAACAAAATGCAACAAATAAATTTGAAGCAAAAGCACATCGAAGAGATGAATTCCAAAGACTGTGATTTATAAGTTATCTGTAGAATTGTTTTGTAATCTAAGAACCAGTATGGTTTAGTGAATAAAAGAAAATGTAGGCTTTGAAGTCAGACAGACCAAGACTGGGGTCCTTTTCCTTTTCAACGATGAGATCTTGAGTCTCAGTTTCTTCACCATAAAGTGGAGATCATAACAGTACCTTTTAGAGTTATTGAGATCCAATTAGATGATGCATCTAAGGCAATTATACTATCTGGCACATGGTAAGCACTCACCATGATTAGCCATCACCATCAACATGTATCATCATCAAAGATAACTTATCTTTTCAGTATGCACTTCTGAATCAATGACCCCTTCTCTTTATTGTCTGTCAACAGCACTAAGCCAGGCATAGCAGTGAATACCAAGAGTGTTAGGACTTAGGACCCTGCCTTCAAAGAACTTGGCTTCTAGATGTAATACAGTACAGATTTGCTCTATGCTGGAAAATGCAAGACTATATTTGATATGATATTCTAAAATCACCTATGGCATAGGTACAAATACATATCCTGGCCCCTCTCTCAGAGATGCAGTGAGTCCAGTGTCTGGGATCCAAGGATCTGCATTTTTTAAATTTAAACTCAAGCTAGTTAACATACCATGTAGTCTTGGCTTCAGGAGTAGAACCCAGTGATTCATCTCCTACATGTGGCACTCAGTGCTCATCCCAACAACTGCCCTCCTTAATGCCCATCATGCATTTAGCCCATCCCCCTGTCCACCTCCCCTCCAGCAACCCTCAGTTTGTTCTCTGTATTTAAGAGTCTCTTATGGTTTGCTTCCCTTGTTTTATCTATTTTCATTCCCTTCCCTATGCTCATCGATCTGTTGGTGTTGGCATTGGATTCCAGCATCATCAGTTGAAACCATGACATCTGTCTGTGCTCTGCTGACATTTTTCATAGCGTAATCTCCTCTGGTTCACTCACGCACTGTTGCGATGAGCGAAGTTTCGTTCTTTCATCAGCAGTGGTATGTTCTATTGTATATAGATGCCTATCTCTTATCTTCTTTTTTTTTTTTTTTTTTTTTTTGCTTTATTTTTTTTTTTTTTTTATTTTATTTTTTTTTATATATAGAGGATTTATTGTAATTGGTTCCATACAACACCCATCTCATCCCAAAGGTGCCTCTCAGTACCCATCACCACACCTCTCCTCCCTCCCACCCATCAACCCTAGTTTGTTCTCAGTTCTCAACAGTCTCTTATGCTTTGCTCTACCACTCTAACCTCTTTTTTTTTTTTTTTGTTCCCCCCCCATGGGTTTCTCTTAAGTTCTCAGGATCCATAAGAGTGAAACCATATGGTATCTGTCTTTCCTCTGTAGAAATCTTATTCATACGCTCTCAGTTCATCCAGTTGCTACAAAGGCCATATTTCATTTTCTCATTGCCCAGTGGTACTCCATTTTAGTTATATAAACCATGATTTCTTTATCCATTCATTAGTCAATGGACATTTGGGCTCTTTCCATAATTTGGCTATTGTTGAGATGCTACTATGAACATTGAGGGTACAATGCCCCTTATGCATCATACTCCTGTTGATCTTGGATAAATTCCATGTTAGCTTATTTAGATTCATAGGAGTGTCTATTTTAATTTTCTGAGAACCTCCTGCTTTCCAGAGCGTGACTGAACCAAGGTGCATTCCTGTGGTGCAAAAGGGTTCCCCTTTCTCCACATCTTTGCCAAGATTTGTTGTTTCCTGAATAGACCATTTTAGCCATTCTGACAGGTGTGAGGTGGTATCTCATTGTGGTTTTGATTTGTATTTCCCTGATGATGAGTGATGTTGAGCATCTTTTCATGTGTCTGTTAGTCATCTGGATATTTTCTTTGGAAAAGTCTCTATTCATGTCTTCTGCTAGTTTCTTCACTGGGTTATTTGTTTTTTGGGTGTTGAGTTTGGTAAGTTCTTTATAAATTTTAAATACTAACCCTTTATCCAGTATGTCATTTGCAAGTATCATCTTCCATTCCATTGGTTGCCTTTTAGCTTTGTTGATTCTTTCCTTTGCTGTGCAGAAGCTTTTTATCTTGATGAGGTCCCAATAGTTCACTTTCACTTTTATTTTCCTTGCCTCCAGAGACATGTCAAGAAGTAAGCATCTGCATTTTTGACAAGTACCCCAAATGATCCTGTTGCAGATAATTCTTCATCAGACAATTCATAGCATGCAGATAATCCTGTGCCACATAGATCCATATACATAGGTGATATTAAGACATTTAACCACTAATATGTTATGTGCTATTGACCAATCCAAGTAGAGACTTTAGCATGGAGGTTAGGAATCCCAAAGGCCCAGTGCTGGTATTAACCCCACAGCTGCTGGAATGTGAGGAGGTGGGATGAAGGAAAAGATGCAGGAGAGACTGGCACAGCAAGGGGCCCTCAGGGAGCTCAGGATGGCAGCTGTTCACCAACCAGCATGAAAGTGTTTCATTGTTTAATAACTGCTTAGTCATTAACCTTCTCTATCTGAATCTGAATATCTGTATGTAGGTGGATGTATTTATAATCCCTATGCTCCTTAGATTCTTGAGTCAGATGTCCTATCATTTGCATTGTCTTCTCTTTCCATTTCTATCTCTCATAGATGTCCTTATTAAAAGTACCTGAACCAACACCAACAGCATTAACATGTATTTCACTGTATTCTTGAGGTTCTGTGAAAAGCCCTTTACCATCCTCTGTCTCTTATGCAATTATTATTTCCCAGATGGAAGCCTGGGTGTAGTGGTGCTTGGGGCTTTTCACCCCCTGTGCCACCCCAGTCTTCCGATAGTGCAGAAGCTGCTTCTGCTTCTGCTTCACAGCCTGCTAGATTCCAGCTCTCCTGACCTTTACCACAACCAGTAGTGCATGTATATTTGTAAAGTGCCAAATTACAGTTCCAGTTTTCTTCCTTTCTTGTTACTTTTAGTTCCTGGTGGCCAACATAACTCAAAATGATGTGTCAGAGGGTGAAATCTGAGCAAGCTGATGGCTCTTTCCACAGGAGCAACAAGTGGATAGAATAGGGAGGAGTGAGTGGAATAAAGATTTGTGCTTCTGTATATCATCTTTCTTAATGGAAGTTTTTAGTATCTCAATGTAAAATGATGCTTCCTTTTTTAAAAAAAAAGTTGATTGTAAGTGAGCAAAATTTAAATTTAATATTACTACATATACAAACACACTGGCAGTGAAAGATGCAATAAAATACCTATCACTATAAATTTTCAGGAACAAGGAGATATATAGAAATCTCCCTGGGTTTGTTTAGAGGCAATTCTTTGCCATCCTAAGTACCTCTTAGTTGTGTGTTTTATACAGCTGGACAGTCATGTTTAGTTAGTTTGAGATATTTTTAAGATACTAACCTCTGAAATAGCCTGAGGATTGCCCTTGAACCTTATTCAGCTGATACAGTTTTTTTTTTTTACCACTAACTTCAATGGTATAACAGAGCAGATTGGTACTAACACGGATGTATGACTGCAAACCTCACCTAAGCCTTCAACACTGGTTGCAATGCTATAGTCTTTTGTCATGCTGCTCACTTGCTCACCACAGTGACACTACCAACCTCTCTATCCTCCTCTAACTTATCCTACCCCCTATTCTCCTTCCTGATTCTCCTGAAATGACCTCAATTCCTACTCATAATGAAAACAGGATCTATCAGAGGGGAAGTTTTGACAATTTCCTGGTCCCTAACCTTTAAACCTACTTGGGTCTGCACCCATCTTTTTTCTTCCATCCTGTACAATGGTGTTCCTCCTTCTACCCTAAGGCAAATTCTCCCCCACTCTTGGACTCCAGAGCCCCACATTCATCCTCCTCCAACCTGTATCTAAGTGTTTCTCAATGTGTGATCCCCATTCTGGCAGGATCAGCATTCCCTGCAGGCTTGCTAGAAATGCAAATTATCAGCCATAGCCCCAAACAGCTATATCAGAAATCCTAGAAGTGCAGCTCTGCAATCTGTTTTAACAAGTCTTCTAAGTAATTTCAATGCACACCACTCTACTGGATCCTTCTTCATTAGCAGTCAAACATGCTCATGTCTTAAAATAACATCTTAAAAATAGTAGGACACCTTCATCCCCACTTATGCCTCCTGAAAACACCCATGTCTTTCACCACTCCCCAACAGAC